CTCTGGAGGAAAGAATGCTAGATCAGACTTGCCAAAGTATCAGAAAAGCTATTGACAAGGAACTGTCGGAGAGGAAAAAAATACTTCATCAAGAGCAAACCTAAAACATTGAATCACGATAATAGCTTAATTTCCTAATTCCCAAGTTAAAGTTCCCGAGTGACACTTCACTGCCCATATAAACCAAGTTAAAAATATAATCTTCTGTTTAAGATTCAAGCCTGTTTTCTATAACATTTAGATGGCCAACTTGGCATGTAAATTTGAGTTCAAGCCTCAAGCTACAGAATAAAAATTAATAAGTTCTCATAATCCGGCTTTCATATTATAGGGAAAACACGAAACCTACAGTTTTCCAGAGCATATATAAAGTATTATACTTGAAAATAACTGCGCCAGTTCTTCAGTTTAATAATATAAAGTTACATGTAAAAACCGGCATTCATATTATAAGGAAAACATGAAAATATGGTTTCCCAGTGCATATATGTAAGTATTATACTTGAAAATAACCATGCCAGTTCTTCAGTTTAACAATATAAAGTTACAATTAAAAACTAAGGAAGCCTTAACACATTAGCATACACATTCTTAGCATATATTTTGACGTGGGTAAAGATCTCCAGCTGCCTATTTAGCTGAAGCTTCTACAGCCTTGTACACGTGCCAGCTCCTTGATGGTGCTTCACAAGTTGTTGAGAAATCCTCTTCCAACACGGCAATTACATGATGTCTCACTTGTAAATTTCAATATTTAAAGAAAAAGAACAAAATATATTTTTCAGAAAGATAATACTAATCTAATTTCATAAAAAGCTTTACTATATGCTGGTGGGCAAAAATTAAATACCCAAAATTCAATAGTATTCAAATAGAAGCCAAACAAAACAGGCTGCTGCAGATATTATTCCCTTTTACAGTCTTATGCTGGTGAATAAGGTTAATAATTAAATGCTTGAGCCACAACTAAAACTCCTTCATCAATTCATTAGTAGAGCACAAGCCGATATGATCTAAATACAATTATGTGTGCTTTCGATTATATGCCATTCTATGACTGCTTTCTATTACAACAATTTTGAAGAATGATGAACCACCACAACAAGACTTACAAAATGACATATGCGCATAGACAAATTCTTTATAAAGCAACTTGATCTTAACTATGCTAATATAATAACAGAAAAAAATTGCATTATCTAACCAATATCTGTATCACCAAAGATTAGATTAATAGGGGTTAGAGCACCGGAAGGTGGCAATTCGTGATCAATTGTCATGTTTTTACCTTAATTAATGTTGAATTTGTCCAGTACTAAGCTATCTCAAAATTCTACTAAAATTATTATTAATTCATTTACACCAAAAATGAAGTTAATTGTGTCAGGTGCATGTGAAACTTTCACCTTTCTTTGTGTCTGTGTGTCATAATTATGTCTCTACCAGTAAAATCTAGGTCATGTTAGTTTAGTGTTATTTATTTTATTTTTTCATGCTTTCCATGATTGTGAGACAGCTAAATAAACTAACATGGAAGAAATGAGAAATAAACCTTTTCTCATTGGGTTGTCACACTCTTTGCAAGATTTCGGGCTGATCAACATTGTAGCCTCGCAAAACTGTGAGATGATATGCCAACAACTGTGCACAAAGGGAGAAACACAAACAAAATTAATGATTTAAAATGTAGGACTTAATATTCAGCTTACACCTAAAAAGATACAAAGAAAAAAGAAAGAAAATATAGGACTCATCCTCGATACAAGTTTAAGTGGAAAATATTAAAGCACCAACTAAACAATTTTTACCTAAATAAAGATGAAAATTTTTGAGAGAAAAAGAAACAGGTCATATCATTTTGACCATGAAAGAGATTTACCACACCTACAGTTTTTGTTAAATTAGCAACCATCATTCCATCTAAAAGCTTAAGTTTGTGGATGGAGGATCAATTATTTATTATGTCACATGCCCCTAAGTGTGGCCACACTTTTACTCATGAGTAGGTCAAAACATGGAACTTTTAAACTGATAGGCAATGGGACTTAAACACAAGGCCTTCGACCTCCTCCTCTGTCTCTAATACCATGTTGAATTGTGGCCACCATATCTAAAAGCTCAATCTTATAGTGAGAGGGGTAACTTAATAATTTGCTGCTTAACATTTATTACTTCGAATCCAAAACATTTATTACTTAACAATTTTAATACTATAGAACCTCCAATTTTGGTGCATGGAAGCTTGGATTTCATATTTATTAAATCACTTCAGTGGTCATGGCGGGCAAACTAATTGCTTGCTTCCGAATTTTCAATGATTCCCAAAACACGTTTGAACATAGAGAGAGGGAGAGAGGGCGTGCCTACATCTGTGTTTTGATTTTTTTTTTTTTCTCTTTCCATCGTTTTTGGTTCAGGCTACAATCCTGTGAAGGTGAATGTCAACAAGATAGGGAATGAACACTAGGTAAGAAACTGTGAAGAAAAAGTAAAAGAAACAAGAGAAGTTGCAGAACCAATCAGATTAAGCATGGACACTGTAAATATATTTGAGCATGCATGTTCAACAACTTCCAAGATGGAGAACCTGGATTTTAACAGAAACTCGGCAAAAGTTGGCTAATAAGAGACACGCTGAAACAGAATAATCAAACTATCAGAAAAGCCAATTGCAGGTAACTGTGCAAAAGAATTAATACTTATGAATAAGAAATATGCCTTAAAATATTATTAGATCATAACAGTAGCTGAGCTCCCTTTCCTGTATAACCCAAGTTTATGCTCCCCAGTAACATTCAACTACATATACAAACCAAGTTGAAATGGCCTAGTTTAGCAATTTGAAATTCAAGTATGCTTTTAGCACATTTAGATGGCCAACTTGGCACATGCAACTTTAAGCTCAAGGTTACTGGTGAAAAATTAATAAATTCTCCCTCATATCTTTCACACCCCCCCCCCCCCCCCCCCCCAAAAAAAAGGCAAAAATAAACATGAACATAACTATTTTGAGAAAGAACTGCCCTAGTTCTTCAGTTTAACAATATGAACTTACTCAACAAAGTTAAGGATGCCATGTTATACCAGTGTACATATGCCTAGCACGTATTTCTGCATGTAATCATAAAAAATATTTTTTAAATGCTAAAATTCTAGCTAAACCCTAGATGCTAATCATTGTTAACATACTGTATGTAGTTAACATTTCAAAATAGAACACCCAAGACTGAACTGCGGTAAACATACTTCTGCAATTATTGCAATTAGTGTTGATCAAGGTTGTCAAATTGTGAATCATGTCGAGAATCGTCATTTTCATTTTTTGAATCATGAATCGTATTGTATCGTACGGTTCAGGAACACATGAATGGAACATATATAATTACATAATTCAAACATAAATAAAATATTTTTGTAATTATCAACATACCAAAATACCATAATAAATCATATATAAATTATCTCATATCGATGCAAAAAAATTCTAATCTAAACACAAGTTATTAATATATATGTCTTTATTCTCCTCACCCTTAAGGCCAACACAAACCGAGAAGTCTAACAAATTCAACAAGTCAAGCCCTTCACCTCACGGTCAAGCCAACCAGTCAAACAAACCCAAATACTCTTCTTCCATGGGTCAAACCAGTCCAAGTCATAACACAATCAGAAGAAGGATTTACCCAGTACGGGTCATTCGCTTTGGGAGATAAGGCAGAATAAGGTAAAATTATCCTATCTTATTCACTTTATCACACGTTCACTGCCCTTGTAACAGAATGAGATAAAGCATCCGGGCAGCACCCTTATCAGCCCATGTGTAATATTTTATCTTGGGGTGAGCTGGGAGATAAAACTTCTCCCACTTCTATAGTAAAATTTTTTTTTCTTGGAGCAATTTTGCCCCTTCTCTTTGAACCCTCTTTTCTACGAAACCATTGCTGGCCTCTTCTCTACGAAAACCACCACCGTCGCCCCTCCCACCTTCGCCCCTCTTGCTGTCCCAATCTACAGGTGCTCGCTCATGCCGGCGCTGGATCTCCAAGCGCCTATGTGATCTGCGAAACCATCGCCGGCCTCTCCTCTACGAAACCCACCACCGTCGCTCCTCTCACGATCCTGATTTGCAAGCACCTACGCAAGTGGGCGCTTGATCTGCAGGCACCCACTCACATAAGCACCTGATGCTTGGAGATCCGGTGCTCGGCAGGCAGGCACGTGCATAAGCAAGCGCCCGCTCACGCAGGACTTGCAGTCAACGAAGAAGAAAGGTGAATGCTGTGAGATCAAGGGCAAATTAGTAATTTGGTTCATTATCCGGTTTGTTATCAAATTGCTATTAAATTCAACCAAATAGATGATAAAAATATAGTTACTATAGGGATAGGATAAATTTTGTCTTATTTACCCTATCAACCTTTATCTTTACAAGGCATCCGAATGCCCCTATGAAAGAAAACTCCAACCAATCCAAGTTGACGTCAATGAATGAGACACATAGGCGATCCAATCGATGCACAAGAGGTTGACGACACAGCTGAACTCAAAACAGAGGAGATGAATGGCACAAATAGATATCGAAACAATGAAAGAGATGAATGGGTTGTCAACATAGTCGAACTCGCAACAGAGGAGGAAGGGAGAATAGAAACAAAATTGGTGCAAGATACATTCCTTAGTGAATAAAGACTCTTCGATTATGACGTTTCCTCTTCAAATGCCATGCAATCTCACCAAATCTTTTGAATTGCATTTCTCTCGCTATCCCAATCGTTGATACAAATCGCACCAATTCGTGCAATTCATGTGCAATTCTTGTTGGTCTATGATTCACATATTAATACAAATCAGTGAGATGCTGACTTGTATAGCCGACTTGTATAGAGTTTTGCGATTCAAATCGCGAATTGCATGATTTCAATAACAATGGAGTTGACAACTAGTTACCCAGTGTGACACAAGAGGAAAGACATTAAAGAATATATGTTAGAATGGTCTGACTAAATTACCTGTAATGGAACTATGTTAATTACAGGTTGAAGACAATCCTCCGCCTGAGGTACTTCAATTACTTTGCATGAACCACCAGTCCTGACTGATGCTGCATCCCCTTTTGAGCACATCACAATCAGTCGACCATTGCGAGCATGAAGTTGCTGAATAACTGATTGTTGCTTTCTGTCAACAGCTTGAAGATGTTAGCATAATGACAATTGAAATTTCAGATAAAAATTATTAGAAGAATGTCTCACCTGAAACAAGCATCACGGGTTGCAATAACAACAATTGGGAGGTTTTCATCAACCAGTGCCAAAGGACCATGTTTCATTTCACCTGCAAGTATTCCTTCACTGTGCATAAGTGCCACTTCCTTAACTTTCAAGGCCCCCTCAAGAGCTGTTGCATAGTTGTATCCCCTCCCAAATACTAACAGTGACTGCTCAGCTATTAATAGATTAGCAAGATCCTTCATTTCCTGGTCTAGCTCCAGCACCCCCCTCACTTTGCCTGCAAAATGTCATGAGCATTAAGAAAAATGATTGAAATTACAAATAATAACAACAGCATGCCTTGCCGGGACAAACATACAACAGAAGCTAGAATGTGCAGGGAAAGTAGGCAAATGAGGCTTACAAGGCAATTCAAATAAGCAATCTATTATGGCCTCTCTTCTTGCTTGACTTAATATTGAGTCGCCACTAATTGCAAGTGCGAACATCGCCATTACCACTATTTGACTTGTGTACGCCTATCAGAAATGAATTAGATTATAAATTTAAACTACATAACGCAGACAAAAGATTTGGGGAAAAAAAAAAACAATCCTTATACCTTGGTACTTGCCACACCAATCTCAGCACCAGCATTTATATGGACACCACAGTGTGTATTCCTAGCAATTGCACTCCCAACGGTATTTGTAATGCCAACACATAATGCACCATTCTCCAATGCATATTCTAATGCATGCAATGTGTCTGCAGTTTCACCAGATTGACTAACAAAAACAGCTGTATCTTCTCTGTAAATTAGTCCCTGCCTATCTAATAAATCACTGGCAATCTCCATTGAAATAGGAATCCCTGTGATTTCACAAACCAAAGTAATGAAACAATTGATTCAACTTTAAATAATATCAATTTAGGGGTTGGCTACATGTGTGCAACATGTGAACACAACTCCAACTAAACACAAGTCAAGGGTACTCATATTGTTCTGACATAATTATGACAATATTTATTTCCTGTTTTCGGTTGACTGACTAGGCTAAAATGACATGCAAATGATGGAGTTGACATTTTCAAGATTTCCAAAAACTTATGACCCAAAATGACTCATTTAAAATGAACAAACTTTTAATCTTTTTCAAGAATTATTTAGTGCAATATAATATCAGTATATTTGAAAAATTATAAAAAAACCGAAATTTGCATATTACAATCCCATTAAAGGAAAGGCTTAAAAAAGTTAAATGAATTATTCCAATTTAGCCCAAGATAACCAGCTTACTCAATAAATACTTTCTCATGTGAATTGTTCTATTACACATTTGATGAACAAAGTCATAGTTGGATTTTGACGCACCAAATTTCCAGTTCAGTTGTAGATATAACCAACTTACTATTAAGACAGGGCACAAAGAAATGACAAAAAATAGCTTTATTAAATGACAGATTGTTTGCTTTCATGTCAACAAAGTATTGTCACACACCACCATGAGATTAGAGAAGATAATAAGCTGACCTGAAGACACCCCTAAAATCGCATTCTAATAGATACAGAACATGATGCTCAAGTTGTTACCAGAAAGTTCTTCTAATAGGGGTCTCGCAGCTAAAGCAGCATTATAGCTTGTGCCACAGCCAATAAAAACAATGCGCCTGCTTCTCCTGATAGTTTTCAGGTGATCCTTCAGTCCACCCAAAATAACAGTTTTGGCTTTGGTTGAACGCCCATGTAGAAGCCTCCCGCGCATTGTTGTTGTAAGAGATTCCGGTTGTTCATGGATTTCTTTCTGCATATAATGCTTGTAGTTTCCTTTATTAATTTGCTCAACCTCCATCTCAAGAATAGATAATGCACGCTGCACAGAAGCAGGTCTTGGAAGACTGCCACTTTGTTTTCCTTTGCCATATTCAAACTTAATGATTGATACAGCTCCATTCTGAAGAAACCATGATGAAATGTAAATTAATATCTATAAAGATTTTACAGGTAATTGTACCAGCAAATATCAATGACAGAATAATAATGGCGCACAGATAACTGGACACAATTCAGAGCTCCAAACACTAAATTACTTGAATATTAAAGTGCATCCCCTCCAGGCTGTAGCCCACTTTGTGAGGTTTGGGGGGTAAGTTGTTGAAAGTATGTAGCCTTACTGCTGCTTTGCACAGAGGCTCAACTTAAATCAATGACCTTCGGTCACAAAGAAACAATCTTACTATTAATTCAAGGCTTACCCTCAAAGGGAAAGAAAGTAATTGCCAGTATGGCTATGACAACAAAAAAGGTCAACAACAGAAATTTTGTCTAATAGAAACTGCATAAAACCTACTGATGCGGTTGAATGTTTGCAAAAATAATCAAGCATAGCCTACAGAAGACTGTAGTTCCAAATTTTATAATTCCTACCACACAATAGTGATCTACGTAACCCCTGGGATGGTTGCATTGGCCCCAGTGAAATTAATTAAAAAAAAGGTAGAAAAGTGTATGTATAAATAATACAACTATGCCCACAAATTTTTCAATGTTTGGACCATCTTGAAAAAGCAACACATTTGTACAAAAATAGAATATAAAAATGAATTGAACTTTAAAATTCAAATTTGTGAAATTCATGTAAATAAAATTTGTGCATGTTGCCCCCACTGAAGAAAATTTCTACATCAACCACTAATAGAAAAAGTCTCCATCTACCCAAACAACCAGTCCACAATCACTTTCCTACTGGAAAGGCTGTGTGTGTGTGTGTGTGTGTGTGTGTGTGTGTGTGTGTGTGTGTTGGGGGGCGGGGGCGCCAAAAGAAGAACTCCACAAGAAATAAAATGTGCACTTGGCTTTCGCCCCAAGACTTTTGATAATTAAGTTGTTGAACTCCCTCATTAAATCTTTATTGGGAAGGGACCAAACAGATTGTAAATTCTTTAGTATTGTCAGATTTTTTTAAGGCCAGCCATGTGGTTAAAAGATTAAACTGATACAACAAGGTAACAAAAATATTTTGGAAAAAAATAATATTCAGGGTCAACTTTCAGTCTTTACTCATAAAAGAACCCAAAATAATTGCACATTCTTTCTGCTGACACAGAATGACTATTACATCCACACTTAACATCCATAAATGACAAGCTTATCCTCTGCAATTTTATGCAAGCTAGCAAAGAGCTTGAGAATTAAAATCATGCATCAAGACCATCCTATTCCAATATATTATACACCTCTGCTCTTGGGTTATATTACATAGAGTACTATAGATTTTAGATATTTAGCACCTATAAGGTATTCTTTGATGCATAGTTAGTGCCTTGTCTGTATATTAAATGTACAACATGCATACCATATAAAGAAGAAATTCATAAAAAGAAGCATCCAGGGCACAAACTCCTGCCATTGCATGTCCAGGAGTGTCAAATTTACATAGACCGTAATCATAGAGCAAACTCTACTGTTGATTCAAGACCTGTACACATAAAGTAGAAAATATGCAACAGTATTTTGTTAGAAATTATACCCCCAAAAAAATAATAATAATAAAATCAAAAGCGGTGTTAAACATTTTAGTTGGTTTCAGTTATCCTGAAGCCACTTTGTTTGTTTCCAACTCCACCCCAAACATCAAAGAAACCCTTGCACATCTGCTAAATATTTCCCTCCAATAAGATATATTAAAGCCACCTCCAGTTAAGTCTAAACGGTCGCCTTCGTTCTCATCAAATCAACTAGTATCCTTCTCAAATCATAATCTTCCTTTTAGTTCCATCAACAAGATCAAAGGACCCCATTTTTTGGTTTATTGATCTAAATTTATTGTGACCTTAACATCTCAAATAACTGTATCTCAAATTATCTTCCAGTGGTGACACGTCAAATTGTTGCAGAACCAGAACGACATGAGTTCAATTCTTTTTCAATATTTTCCAGTCATGCACACCACTTATCCTTCTTAGTTTGTATTTGGACAAGTTCCCTTCACAAGTAAGTGATTTATACAAGCTTGTGACAACTTCATCCCCTAATTCCAACTTACCAAGAGATGAGGGACGAGGTGAACAAGAAGTTTTCGAGGAATCTGAACTTGAAACTGCTATTCAAAGGTAAGTTAGATGAAGCAGGTTCTTATTTGGTATTACTTTCGGCAATGCTCAAAACTGCCCTAACCTATTGATCTTCCAAACCTTCATAACTTTCACAGAAGCCTTATATTTCAATTCCCTTCATGTAGGATATGCAATGTCTCATCCTACATGCCTACAGATCAGTTAAGATATATATCAACATCCATTTAGAATTTTAATCATACAAAAATGGAAAATTACTCCATTTATGTAATTCAAGGCACAGAAAGTAGATGGCAAAAAAATGAAAAACTGCAATTTGAAGAAATGTACCACCTAAAATGATCAGTATAACTCAATACTTAAGAACACCAAATTATAGAATTTCACAGAAACAAGTGAAATAGATAACTTCATAGTTACTAAATTACATACATAAAGGAACTAAGCATGAATATTGTTAAACAGAAAATGAGATGCATACTGAGTTCATAAGAATGGCAACCACAAATAGTAGGGGGAAAAAATACCTTTAGATGTACAACTTCACCATCCTCAATTACCAAGACCTTTTTTGTGTGTTCAACTATGGCGTTGGCATCACTAGACAGAAAGAATTCTTTGGGTTGCTTATTCTTTGTAAGGAATTTAACATCACAAAAGGATGGACCATTGCTTGTATCTTCATTAACTTCCTGTAATAATGGCAATTTCATTGGGCTTAGATGATGATGATGATGACGTCGACGATGATTATAAAGAATGTGCTAGATAGAATATTCCATTTATTCATGAATGGTGAATAGTGAGATAATCAGCTAATTTGGTATTAAGGATTCAAAAGCAATAAATTCCAAAGTAGTTACATAAGGTCTTTCAAGTTATTCAAGCGACAGTAGGATCCAAATGGTCTGGATATTACTTTTGGCAATGCTCAAAACAAGCCATAGGCAAAAAGAGATCCACAATAATGTATGCAATGAGGATGGTCATTACAGTAATCTATATATAGAAGTATACAGTAGTCAACCAACCCCAAGTTAAAACTGAAAATGGGGCATCCCAAGACATGAGGGTCCCCAGTTTGCAAGCTTGCAAGGGTTAGGAGAGGCTTGAGTATATTTCATCCCACACTTCATAAAAAAGACTTTGCCACAACTAGAACCTGAGATCCTATGGTCACAAAGGAGCAAATTTGCTTTTGATTCAAGGTTAGCGCTCCTAATTTAAGAACAATAACAATAATAAAATAGTAGCTGAACAAGTTTTCTTCATATCATTAAGACTTCCTTGAATGCAAAGTTTATTTTCTTTCATTCTTTAACCGAAATCTTGAAACTGTTATTTTAACAAAGATATATCACATCCCAACATTGAATTTTAACCCGTATAAAAAAAAAAAAAAAAAAAAAAGATTGAAATTTAATGAGAATTATGGATATACTAATTTTACTCAGATTGAGAGATGGAACCCTATTCATCCAGCCAACACGATTATCATTCATGTGTTAAAAATGGAAAAACCTAATTTGACTTGGCTCCAACCATGGCTTGGACCAGTAAGAAATTGAAGGTCCAACCCAAGCTCAAATCCTTTGATATTTTAATCTTTCAGATTATTTATACATATATATATATATATATATAATATTTGTTTATATGTTTCTTATATAATTTTATTATCATTTTTTATCCCCGTGCAACAGTTTGAGCTGGACCAGGATAGGAAAATATTTTCACAAATTTATAGGGTGAAATTTGGAAAACAATAAGTATCTTTTTTTCAAATTTCTTCTTATTGAAGTAATCAAGTATAACTTTATTTTATCATTTGAGAAAATTTTCCATCTTCATATATGCATGAAAAATTAATTTTATTCTCCAGTTAGTTACATTAAAAAGTTCCTAGTGCATAATCATATTGTATTCCAAAAGAAAAATTGTATAAATTTGCAGTGAAAAATAAAAATGGGAAGAAGTGAATACAGCAGTTAATGAATTGAATTATAGCATTAAAGTCTTTAGAGATAATGATGACAACAAAACTCACATGGCTCAAGGATTTATAATGGTGAAAAAGAAAAGTCACAATGAAGGCACTGAAATTAACCTTAAAATTTGCCTGAAATTTCATGCTGATGAATGTTTCTCTTCTATTTATTTATAAGTCCATTAGTCAAACAATCGGTTTAGTGCCAAAGAGAGCATTAGAATATAAGCACATGCTTTTATGCTATGTATGTGTGATATCCCATTTAGATCGGATTGGATTGTATTGGATTGCGAGTGTGAGCAAAGTTAGTATGTAGGACCCATAAAGGCTATTATTAAAGAGCTTGTGCTTAATAGTATGTTTGGCAACCCAGAATTTGATGTGATTTGGTGCGATTTGGATTTTAAGATCCCATTTTTACTGTTTGGATTTAAAAAATTTTAAAAAATGGGATTTGGATTTGAAAAAAAAAATATTTTAAAGATTTTAAATTATTTTTGCGACTTAGCCCCTCTCATTAGAATTTTTATTAAGCTAAAAAAAAAAATAATTGAGTCATGGAGGATTTTGTTCCTACTTCTTCAAGGATTCCTCAACAAAAAAACACACATACACACATATATCTATTTTCTATTTTCTTTAATCTATATGGATTATAATTTTTTTGCATTATTTTAATTTCTTTCTATTTTCATGCATGACCCACCTATCCGCTCTCAACTTCCCTCTATTCTAGTGGTGTCCTATATTAAGAATCAACGCATCAAGCTGACAACTTGAACAAATTCCAAATTTCCATCCAACGTCATCAACTTGTAGTTACTCTTCTCCACCAGCAACTATGCACATGAGATATTGGAATTGTTGCCTACATAGTGAATCTCCTATGAAAGCAATTATTTTGAAGAGAATAATAGTAAAAATCTTATTTTAAATTCCAATTCCATTTCTTTCCACACACCAAATGGAATTTGTAAATACCAAATTTTACTTTTTGCCAAACTCGAAAATGGGATTTGAATTTGAAATCCATGGAATTCCAAATCCAAATCCGATTCTTTTTTTCGCCAAACATAGTGTACGTATTTTGGGCAGTTATTCGAGCTTAATAAGTTGTTAGGATTAGTCGCATTCAAGTTGTTACAAATTATATATCAGAGTAATAGTCTTGTCACAAGTCGCATGTGGAGTCTGCCGAGGATCTATTTGGATTTGGACCTTGATGAGATTGTCAAAGGTTTGAGTGGAGGAGACTGTGATATCTCATCCACATTGGATTGTAACACACATTTGTCTTCCAGAGTCTTGACAACTGACACTATTGAACAACTTGGGCTTAGCCAATGGTTTTCGGGTCATTGTGGCTTGTACAACAAGATATAGAAACAAATTGGCTTGAAATTCTAAAGGTTTTGACCAGAAGGTCATGAGTTTAAGTAAAGAAAACAGCCTTTCTACAAAGCAGGGGAAAATATTGACAAGTGCCTTCCCAAACCCACCCTTTCTTTGTTTTATTTTATTTTAAGCTGAACAAATCAGCTCAAAATATTAATTCTATTTTAATAAATCATTAAAATGTTAGTGGTTATTCTTTTTCTGTGTTTATGTACTGAGACCCCAAACAGATCAGCTCTAGATAAAGAAGTTTTTTGTTTTTTATTTATCTATTTTTTCTTTTGTGTGTTTGCATGTATGTTGGCTCCATCTGAATCCAGCCACAAATAAAGGCCTGCACCAGGTCCTAGCATTGTGCCTAGCCTGTCTAAAGCCCAGTCTCAGCCCTCTGGTGGGGTAGATTCTTTGCATGGCTTTTTCAGACCAGGTGATGTAGAATGCAGTAGAAGGTCAGAGAAGAAAAGAATAAGTGGAAAAGAAGAAATGATTACCCTGACAAGGGTTACACGTGCTGCAGGCACAAACGAGTTTACGACTCAAAAAATATTATTGAACTCTTATTAATTCAGAAAACAAAGTGCAAATATATAATACTTCTGAGAATCCCAGTATTACGTTAATGTAGGAATAAGCTTGAATGAATCTTTGAGAAATAATTGAAATTGTGCAAGTTCACAATCTCAAGAACTTATTGGAATGAAGTATCTATTGAGCCAACTGCACTCAACTCTCACTCAGTGTGAAAGCAGAGGTTATGATACATAATTGAACTTATCATTAATGGACAATATGTATTACTAGAAAACATCCACAATTGCAAAGACTATTCTTATATATCCTTAAGACAAAATCAACTATGAGAAAACAATTTTCTCATTATGTATCAAAAATTAGCAATTTTCTGTGCACTGTACCTAATTGAATCCCAATTTTAGCTTTGAGGCAAAGAAACTAAGATAGGCACTTATTTTCTGAATAGCACCAGTACAAAAGATTCAACTACATTTTTCTATAGTCCAAGGTGTATCAAATAGTAAAATTAAAGAAACCCCAACAGTTCACATGAAAAGAGCCACAAAAAAAAAAGAAAAGAAAAAAGAAAAAATGAAAAGAAAGATGCAAGGGTGTTTCAAATTTCTAATTAAGATATCAATACTATTATGAGCTCAATTCTTTTAACAAAGATTTTCAAACCTTACTTTGACACCAAGGAGAAGTGGACTACCACGCTTGCAAGCAACCAATTCATTTGGATAATGTTGGCTTTTGAAAATAAGAGCATAGGCTCCCTCAAGATGCCTCATAACTTCAATTACAACTTCACTGAAGGTTGCAGTCTGATCACCTGCAACATAGAACTTTACTCTTGAAATCTTACTGTGATGAACATGAAATGTGTGCAATCAAATGCTTCAATAGAAAGTGACTTGTATAAAGCAGTAAGAACCAGTTCAGCATCCCGTTAAAACCCACCAGCTGAATCCAAGCTCAGCTTGTCAAAGGATAGCTACAGGGCTTTTTGAAGCAGGAAAAGAAAGTAGATAAAAGGGTCCATCAAAATATCAATAGTTATGGATGTGCATCATAAGAATATCAAAAAATATGAACTTGATTAAGATAAATTATGAAAATGAATTTATCACAACTATACATATATATGTATGTATGTATGTATGTATCACAAAAATATTTTAATAAGATAATTGGGATATATCCCAATATGTAATGTTGATATTATCAACGGACATATCACAAACATCGAGAGAGAGAGAGAGAGAGAGAGAGAGAGAGTCTATTATATTGAGCAGTCAACTACATATTACTGCAAAAAGGAAACTACAAACAGGAAAGATCTGTGTATGGCCTACAAGAAAAATGATTAGCCACTTCAAGACAAGGTCATCAAGACAGGCACTCATTATTTCCATAAATATTGCAGAGTCAACAAAAAGAGAGGGGAAAAAAGAAAAGAAAGAAGTGTGAGAACAGCATAACGTAGTGTCAGTCATGACATCTGAACTGGCAGTTGAAATTCCAAAGCTCTAAGGCTAGGCCATTACTAGCCTGAAGAAAATTATGATCATTGATAAAGCCTTGATGTACAACTTCCAGACAACAAACTAAGCTTTTGTAGCTAATAGAAAATATATTTATGATATCAAAGGTTTGGTTCTAAAAGGTCCAGGGTTCAAGTCCCTTTCTGTGCAACTAAATGCCCTTAAGTTTGTCTGTTTGGACTTTTCATTTATGCTTCTGCACACATTTCTTCCAGTTTTTCTCAGAAATCATGATGAGGCTTGCAAATAGAAAAGAATGGACAGGGCTTGATGTACAATTTTGGGCCTATTGATTGCCAGCTTAAGCATCTTTGCAATCGTTTATCTGATGGTTATCATGAAAATTAAGTCAGGTACAGAAATTACCATCTTCATTTGCTTTGTCAAATACAAATTTTGCAAGCTTTGGAATCACCTCTGTATCTGTTTCAGATTCAAAGGTAAATCTTTGCCGAAGCAGTGTCTCCTTTAGCACCTGAAGATCACACAAATAGAAGTCACCCAGAGCTCATTAATGAAATAATCTTCTTCTGGATGTAAGGGCTTCAATAAGACAATGCTTCACAGGTGAAAACTTGGTTCAAATGGAAAAGCTACTAAACATGGCATGAAAACTATGACTGTTCACACAGTCAGGTGGGAAGAAGCAAAGAACAAAAGGATGAGATTAGAAAATGGAAGTGAGCCATCAAATGAAAAAGGAAGAAAAATGAGTTGCAAACTTACCATGCAATATTACATAAAGAGAAAAAAAAATGAAAATTCACAACATAAAAGTTGCCACTTTTTTTTTTTTTGGGGGGTGCAAATATTTGTAGTTTTACTAATCAGTAGTTCAATTTCTTCTCTATCTGAATGCTACATGAATTACTGAAATAAATGTTCAAGGGTCTCAGTGTTGGCTCAGTTACAACACTCAGAGTGCATCATGATGAATGTAATTCCATGCTTCTTTCTTTCAATTAATATTGTTGTATTGCAGAAGCAAAAATGAAATAAATTAGACACCAAGTTTATGTGGTTTGGTCAATCGACTTAAACCCATAAGCAAAGACGCAGACATATGAATTCACTAAGTAAAGAAACATGTATAAAGAGGTCTCATTTTAAACCCTAACTTACCAGATATTATACACATTAAATATCTAATCTAATTAGGAAAAAGAATCATAACAAACTATAAACCTTCTTTGGCTAAGGATTCAAGACACATCTAACAATTCTCCATCTTGGCTTAACTTCTGCAAGGATCTGAAGTGAATCTCATCTTAATGTCTTTTCCAAAATTAGCCCAACTAGACTCAATCTGCAAAATTTGTGACAGGAATAGATTTACTAAACTTAACTCTAGGTATGTTGCTTTCCCATAACACAATTCTTGTGAAAGTCTAATTAAATAATCTTCCTCCATAACTGAGCAGAATCTGCAACTGCAACAAAGCAACTGAAGCTAATCCAGTTAAAGTGCTACCTTCCAGAAAAGAGATTGTCAGAGCTTTCCTTTCAACAATTGTCACAAGCCCGCCTTCAACCACAATCCTACACCCCAAGGAGTCAAGGGTGCTTAAAGAAATTAAATTCCTTTTCATATTTTGGAACATGCCACACATTTAATAAAGTCTTAACTATTAAGTCATGTAGCATAAGTTGAATTGTCCCCTGTACCCATAATCTTGTTAAGTGCGTCATTACCCATTACGATTGTTCCCCAGTTAGCAGACTAATACAAGGAAAAAAACATCTCAATAGGGGCAGGCATGATAGAAACAGTCTGAATCTAGAACCTAGTCACTACCTGAGCTAAAATCATATAAAGTAACAGACAATTAAATCAACGCAATTATCCCCACAATTATAGTAATGCTTGTAGACTTGGTATTATCCTCATTATGTCTTTCAACCTTGAAAATTTCTCTAGATGTGCCCTTTTTTTAACACTAATAGCATCTGAAATTGATCTGTGCTTTTGTTGATTTGGACCTAGAGTTGCCACAGTATTTATTCTTAAAATCCTGATCTCCACTCTGCCTCTTGTTATCAAACCCTCTTACAAATTTAAATCATTATTACCAGTCACTTTCTTTTGCGACTCTTCAAATCTGAGTGCAGCTTTGACATCCTCCATTATAATGGTGCCTCTCCCAAATAGAAAATAAGTGACAAAGCTTATATGAGGGTGGTAAGGAACATAACAAAAAACTGACTGATCCTCATTCTCAATCTTAGGTTCAATATTTTTTTTTAAATCCATCAAAACCTTATTAAATTCATTAAATTGATCCTGAATTGAGGTGCCCTCCACCATACAGAGAGTGAAAGGCCTCTGCTTTAGTTACATTGATTTGTCAAGTATTTCATTAGGTACCAAGCCTCCAATTTGTTCCACAACCCCTCAGCCATTTCCTCTTCCACCACCTCATACAGAATATTATATGAAAGGAACAGGTGAATAGCATTAATAGCCTTTGAATTATATTCATCACACTTTTCATCTGACAGGAACAGATTGGTTGTAGCTAGTTTTTGCTTTTGACCCACCTCTCTATTCAATTATCTAACAATGATAATTGATCCTAGAAATGGCCCATAGGCAACCCTAAACAAGTATCTGGCATTTCAAAAATCAGCAAACCACCAAATTACAAGATCCTAACAAGAAGCTTAAGCTAACTGATAAAAGACATTCAAGTAAGATTCATATATGGTCAACAATTGAAAAAGGTAGCCTAAGAAATATTTTCCCTTCCATCTTTTCAAACTGCCTAGAATCACTTGCATCAAGACTCTGACACTCAATGATGATTCCACAACAAAGAGCCCTTGATGAGAACTCATTTTCGGCAAAGTGGCTGATCTCTCAACTTTCATGAACTTTAAGAAAAGAATTTTGAAAAGAAGATAAAGAATACAAACATAGCATTATCACAGAATTGTGAGCAAGTTGGATAAGGAATTATTATGGAAAACTGCTGATGAAGGAATTATAAATTATGTTACTTCCAAAAAGAGAGTCAGTTCAAGCCCAAAGCACATCTGTACAATAACTTCTCGCAATATTAAAAAGAGTTTAATTCATATTTAATTATGAAAACCAAAGTGCATCACAATAAACAAATAAAGACATTGATACCTGGCCAATTCAGATACAAATATGCAGGTACTGCAATTCTAAAAGACATGATATGCTAAAGACAAATAAGCCTCTGCGCGCGCGCGCGCGTGTGTTGTGTGCAAGAGAACAATGAACAGTTCATTATCAAATATTAAGCAAACCTCATAATTCGTGATAACCCCATTGTGAACAACCAAGAAACCATTTCCAGCACCAGAAGTCTGAGGATGACTATTTCTGGAAGATGGCTCTCCATGGGTTGCCCACCTGGTATGTGCTATCCCAGCATGAATAGAAAATGTTTCCTCCAAATTTAAATCCGTATTAGCAACCTCTGGAAACACAAAAAACACAACCAATTTTTAAACATCATTACACCAATACACACCAGCCCACATGATACAGGAGTAAAGGCAAAGTTTCTAACAGTTGATAGAGTTAGCCCTTGGGTTTTCAAGGTAAATAGCACCAACATAAGAACCAGTAGCACAAACTCTCAGGCTTTGTTATGCATTCTAAAAAACTATTGCAGAACCTTGTCATCAATTCTGGTAGTTGTCTTACATGCTTCTTATCTTTAGACACTTTAAAATATATTCTTCCAGGTGCTTAAATTAGTATTGGACGTTTGTGTTTCAGATTTTTTGCAATTCAGGAGCTCCAAGCCCCAAATCTGTTGGCAGGCTCTCTCCCAGTGATTTAGGTATAGAGAAGAGGAAAGCAACAGGAGAACAGGGAAAGAACGCTTGTCTTGTGTTGTCAAGGGCCAATTCATACAGAAAAATGTCACAGTCAATAAGTGGACCAGGTAGAGTAACGTGACTGGGGCCATGTGGAACACCAAAAGGATAATGCCAGGTGTCAAATTTGTGCAGTAATCTGCCCTCTCTCTCTCTCTCTCTCTCTCTCTCTCTCTCTCTCTCTCTCTCTCTCTCTCTCTCTCTCTCTCTCTCTAAGACTGGTCAAGCTGCGTTTCATCTCAGGTTAATGAAGGGCTTAATGAACCTCCTTTAGCCTTTGAGCTACTTGACTCCAGTTATCTTGATTTGCATGTCTAAGAGGTGGCGTAGCATCCAGGTGGCAACATAACATGGAAGGCTGAACCATGCGCCAATAGAAAGTAATGCTCAATCCTAATGAATAGCTTGATATAGATTCTTTTAATATTAGAAATTCTCAAATAAGGCAGTTTTAGATTTTTATCTATATTCACATGCATATCTTTGAATATCACAACTATAAATTTTATATCTTTGTCACTAATGCATGCTAATTCAATAATTTATTTTGTCTGAGCTGCTAATTTTCAATAATATCAAAACTGCAGATTATTTGATGCCTTATCCATGTATTGTAGAAGTATAAGATTCTCCAGAAGACATATATGATGACTATGGATCCTATAATTGTCAAGAGAACTTCCTGCTCAGGCAAGTAACACAAATTTGGGAACAAGCGCTTTTTCCCACAAAACGGTAAGATATGTCTCAGCAGGACACAACTAAACATTATAGGTTTTATACATCTTTTTATTTATATGTTTAAATCACATTATAGATCCCTTAAAAGTAATACTAAGTAATATTTTATCTAACATTTTTTATTATTCATATTATTTTATGTTATTCTTAGAGCATATATCTTCTTTAAATAAAGGGGCACATACTCAAGGCATTTGCACACTTCCAGTAATGCTATAGACTTCAGTTTGGGAAATTTTCCATATAGGTAGCAAGAACAATCTCAAAATCTTAGTGTCTATAACTTGTCAAGTGCTTTAGAAGCCACATTTAAGAAGTACAAACTCTTTTGTTTAAAATTGTTAAAGAAGTTAAGCGCCCTGAAGGTGCCAAAACCTCCAACTGTCTTAAGGCCCTAGTGCCATGTTAGGTGTTTGCTTGAGTAAAGTGATGTGAAATTTAAAAATATGTCTTTAAATAGGAAAAAGGAGAAGGCCATATCTACTAAAAATTTCAAATTGAGCATATAGTTTGGAGCATATTATCTAAAAAATAAGAAACATTGTCCACAGAAAGCTTATTCTAACATTAGAAAGTCCCCAGAAAACAAAAACTTTACAAATGATTTCATACTTCTAAGACTACAGCGGGCAAAGACAGACCCTTAGTTAAGATCCACATATCTGTACTAGAATAGAGGGCAAGTCTTACAATTTTGCCACTTAGAACACAAAATTAACTCTCAGATTAGATGCAGCAGGGTTTCATTATAACAAATGCTGGGCTTTCCCAACATTACACATTCATAGCCATGACCCTAAACATAGCATTGGAAAACCCCCAAGTTGTTCTTATAATCAGCTCCACTTTCTTTCTTGGATTCTATTTTCTTGTCCTGACATAAATGGTCATTCTTTTCATCCCTCAAAAATCATATTTATGAATACTATAATTTCCCACTCATGCAATCATGATCCTGTTGTATACCATCCAAAATGGAAGAGCCAAGAGCCACCAAGTCACTTCATTAGTTACCATAAATAGCTTCCCAGTGGTGTAAGTTTCTGTTGTAAAAATTCAAAGGGCATGTTTGCTACAAGGGATGACATTGCTAATCCCAATTTTGGTGTTAAGAGAAACAGGATTAGCATATCACTGAGACCGCTATGTCCAGTGCTCTATTTAATTTCTTTCTAGTAGAAAAAAGTGGATAGAAGCAATTAATTGTTACATCTTGGCTGATCTAGTGGACTCTTTTGATGAGTTTAGAGACTTCAGTGCGCTAAACTGAGACATCACAATCTCGTAACAGTAAATCAACAAAGATTTTCCTGGTATACAAATCTAAATTGGCTTATCATTGACACCTTGAGCTTAAGCTTGTACACCATCTAGACAAGTCCACATCATTCCCTTCACTAGCATAGTAGTTTATTTGAATCATTTCAGAACAACTTTTAAATTAATCCAAAATCAGCCTCCATTATAAAAACTTACAACCTTGATTTTACTTCTTGAATCATATTAAACAATAAATAATTAAGTTACCACTCTCTCTACACGCTTAAACTTTTAGATGAGACACTAGTCAGCAGTTTAATAGGATATTAGAACAAGCAGAACATTATGTGCTTGAGCCTCGCCGCCTACAACTTAAAGTTCCATGCTTTAGTCATTTATGAGTAAAAAATCTGGCCACATCTGAAGGGCATGTTAAATAAATAATTAAGTTACAGTTTCTTTACAAGTTTAAGATTTTAGATGAGGTGGGATGTCAACAATTTATCATTAGTAAATCTAGCCCATCAGGAAACTAATGCCAGCATAAAAATTCTGTTCTTTCCAGCATTACCAGGCCTCCCCTTGCTTTTGCTCAACCTAATTTAGATATCAGACATTTTAAATTTTCATTAAATCAGTGTCTGCACTGGTCTTTTATTAAGAATTCCTATCTCAATTGATAAATCTGCTGCTGCATTTCATGGGTAATAGGAGGAATAGATTGATTAGGTGCAGTGCTAGATCTCTAACCTGTCTGCACCACACTGAAAGCTATTACCTACAGTACTGCACTTAGTCTGGAATCTAAAACATAAACTCAAAAGTCAACGCTACAAAAATGCACTAACAGTTGATTAATAAAGTGTAGGATTCAATGCTAGGACTGTTAGCTTTTTATAAGTGCTTCCTCTAGGTAACTTGCTTTGTCATGTAACAAATTTTACTAATGGATTCTAATAGTCCCATTTTTCTCTATGTGATCGGTGTATAATGTGTATCCATATCCATGTGTAGCGATCCCCTGTATATTTACCATGTTACACCAAAAAATAGACAGGAATTCAATGTGACGCAGTTAAATAATGCAAGAATTCTACGAGATTAAATGAGGGCAGTGGCACTAAATTCATATTAAATACGAATATAACTGGTAATAAATAAAGGTAGATAGAGTATCTCAATCACTCTGATTAAGCATATAAGCTAAATTCAGCTATTAAGCTCGACATAGGGTAATCATAATGTTTGGTCGAGAAACTCAGTCCCATGCAAGAAAAATTATCGCATTGATGCTCAACGCTGTCTTATATTTTTCCACATTTTTTAGCAATTTAACAACCGAAAGAACCATATACATTGCCGTTTAACAACAGTTAATCGAACCACCATGCATGCAACAGATCATAGCAAATTGGAATCATCTTACCTTCATAGACCGATTTTACGAGCGATTCAATTTTTCCTTCATGGCGGAAGACCAGAGGATAGGGTGAACAACAGGATGCACCATTTTGAGGTGGCAAGAAAGAGTCTATAGAAATGCCGGCAGAGTCGTAGCCTCTATACTCCAAACGCCTTAGACCATTGAAAAGGACTTCGAGTATGTATCGTCTCTCCCTGTCGACGTTGTAATTCAAATAGGCGAATATGCCACACATTCTTTCTCGAGTGGACGATCGTTACGTCCCGTTGTTATTCGAAGTCAGATTGGAATCGGAGTGCGGTCGTGTTGCAGGTGTAGAGTGCCAAATAGGGGGGAATGCGAAGAGAGAGGATTGGTGACGGAGAAGATAGAAGGGTGACGGAGACTGGAGACAGATATTGACTAATCGATTTGGATTTTGTACGGGGATGAAAACGCATGTTCGGGTGACAATTGCCGCGCGCCACGGCAGAGGACAAGATCGGAATTTAGTTACTTATAAGGGTCCTTCCTGGCTTCCTGCAGTCTGAAACTTTTATGGACACGTTTCTCTTGTGCGGAAATGTATATTTCTCTTTAATTATCAAGAACTTGTTAGTTTAAAAATTTATTTAACAGATATTATATTAGATATGATAAAATAATTATTTAAATTTTTAAGAAATGATGCTGTACATTTTAATATAGATATATTTTAAATACAGAATAATAATTTTATAATAAATATTATCAAAATCAATTTTAAAAAATTAAGTTGATACTAACTAATACTTCTTCACAAAATAATTTTTTATAAAAAAATATTATATTTTAATCATGATAGTGAGAGACTCTATTAATTAATTTCTATTATTATTTCCTTTCCTGAGAGATCTTTATAAAGGTCCAATAATGTTACCCAAATTATCTCCTGACCTAACTTAAATATCTATATCATTATTTTGGTAGGTTGTGATAAATTTGGTGCTACAAAAGGGAACCTAAAGAAAGACGTGTACCACTAAAGAAATAAATAAATTTTAAAAAAGGTTAGTGCATCAAATCAAGGGATGACGTCGTTGAGGTAGACCTACGAGAAGGCGACCAATTCCTCCTTATTTTGTGCCTCCGAGATATCAATCAAAATAAATAAATAAATAAATGTGTTATACACGTGTGACAAGACACGTGTTTTAAGCATTCATATTTTAATATTTGAGTCTAGATTGTAAAAAAAAAATTAAATTAAAAATTATATCAAAGTCACATATTTGGTTTCATTTAAATTGAAAATCGAGTTCAACATCAGTTTTAATATCAATTTATATATTATTTGATTCCATAATTAATTTATTTTATGGTTAATAGGTTAAAGGAAATTTGAAAAATTGATCTAAAAT